GCCCTCTTACAGGATCTGGATTCTTTATTTGCTCTTCACCGAGTGAGTGAAGTTATCGGAGGCCCAAACTCTCACTCTACTATTTCTGGTTGGTGGTCTCGCAGACCAACGCCCCTGTGACTATTGAGTTGTAGATGTCCATAGATGGTAGAAGTTACTTCCCACAGGGGTTTAATTCTGCTATTTTATGTTAACGTACAAGCCACTGTCATTCTATTGAAATGCCAGTGACATCGGTCAAAATATCGAAATTCTACTAACATTAATTCACAGTGGCAATATACCGTCCGTGTAGTGACAAAGGCTCATCATATGGTGATATCAATAATATTGCCATATCTGGAAAATTAAATATATAATTTGTACCGTGTACCAAACTACCCGTATTACAAATACATCGACGACATTTGTATGAATGGCAGTTCAGTGACCGGGAGGCCATTGATCATACATAGTTAGTAGAATACGAAAAGTATTGCGACGACATTCCATCGACAGTCTATTGATACAATATTAATTTAGTAGAATAGAGGCGCAGGTGACCTGTCTGCTCGCTTGTACTACACCATAAAAAAGTCCTTCTACCCTAACAAATAAACATCAAAAAAATCAAAAAACTAAACCCCGAGGACGAGGAAGAAACCGAATCATACGGATGTCTATAGTAAATAAGAACCTCAAAGAAGCCCAAGTCAACAAAGAAACGACCGAGGACTGAGCTGCCTTTAAACACATGATACAGAGGGCCGACCCCAAATAAAATGGGAAAGGGCCAGGCAAAGAAGAATAGTAGTAAGAAATAACAGTTCCTATAGACTCAGAAAACGATAAAAGTATTATATCATTAAATCGCGATATAAAGGTAGCATCAGATAATAGCCATCCAGTCACCATGAATGATCTTATCAGGTATAAACATGTGATAATGGGCTCACGTTCGGCGGGTCGGTCGGTGGCAGCAGGTGAAAGTGCCCGGTCAAACCTGTTCCTCCCTCGGAGCTGAGGTGAAATTTATGAGGATATTGATTGGTTACGTACGCATTGACTTTGACTTCGAGGTCTGAGGTTGTTGAATGAATGGGAAATGGGAAAAGTATTTATATTATACAACGTTTTTGTTGTATTACGAGTATAGAGATAATTGGGCAAGATGATAATTTTATAGACACTCGCGGCAATATAATACTTTGTGTTAAAATTCGTTATACTTTTTCTTTAACTTGTAAAGCGACGTTTCACATGCGTTTTATAACAAGCTGTACCATGTCACACTTCGCTATGGCACATTGCGGTTGTATAAAATAGATTAAAAACATCTCTGAAGCGTGTTGTACTCGTATACGAGTATTAGCTCAATCGGTGCAGAACTTTTTGCGTTACAAGCGTACACAAACCAACTTGACATTTTTATTATATAGATATTAGTCGTCAGATAATTAAAATAAACAAACTAACCAAAAACATTTAAACTTTATTATGTACATTTATATACATAGATTACAGACTTCATTTAAAGTCTTTGAGTAAGACTTTTATTTAAAGCAGATTTCATTGGAGTGTTAAATAGATTATGGTGGTATGGACTCACTATAAACTTATGTTTTCAACTTCATTGGAAAATTTAGACAAAATAATAATATAACCTACCTTATATTAAGCGTTTCAATAATTCTAAAGTTTATGTTCTTATGATAATAAAGACCTATTGAGGTAAAATTGTGAGGATTAAGGCGCTTATGAAGAAATTACTACACCCCGTAAAGTAATGATGTTATTTGAAAATGCTGAAGATAATAATATTTTTTTTTTACCTCAAACAGCCAACCTGTGCAACAGGGCATCGATAAGACCTTCAAATAGTGCATAATTCTATCATCTCAAAGGCCGGTAACCCACATGTGACCCTTCATTTGCAGTCATTCATGGGCTATCGCCCATGTTGACATCGAGTATCGATCTATCTGCACCTTTGCCTCGCATCTCATAAATAAATTGAAAGACACATCAAATAGACTATTGGGTACAACGATTAATAAAATTAGAGATGTAAACATTTATTTTTCTGTCTACAACATGCAAGCCTCAGGCTTATTAGTATTTTTAATAGTTTTCATACACACATAGATACATACATAATAACGCCTTTAGGGCGAAACCCCTCTCTGTCTAGACTGCAAAGTCGTGGAGGACACATACCATCTCCTAGTGGAGTGTACGCGGAACGAGGTCTACGGAGCTTTTCTGGGCTTTGCCATAAAGAATGTTAGCAACAATATTTTTGTCTTTCCGGTATCGGACAGAGCCAAACTATTGTATAAATTATACACATCCATCAACAACCTTTAACAGTCCACTGCTGGACATAAGCCTTTCCTTAGAAAGGAGGTTTTGGCCTACTATACGACGCTGGCCAGACAGGTTGGTATATTGTTTGCGTAAAGTTTTCCTTCTCTCTGCAGTGCTGTTGTTCTAATAAATAAAGAGAAAAAAATAAAAAAATAACGCTTATGCTTCCTTTCATATAACTTGTAATTTACTCGTTTTTCGTAACATCAAAGATAACATCACTAAGTGTATTTGAAGCGTACAATTATTAAGAAACTGTAATAATAAGATGTATACGCTGAAATTATTCGTACAATTCAGGTGGAATATCATATATGTTATAACTTTAACTTATTTAAAGTAAAGCGAGCATCTGTACACAATATTTAGGTATGTGTTCTGCGTGTGTGTGAAAATCAAGGAAGCAAATATCTTTTGTAACAGTTAACGCTTTGATTTATAGCATCGTTCATGATAAACATTTGATTGTGAATAGGAATAACGAAATACATAGTTGATAAATGTGTTTAAAGTTCAAGAGAAAATGGCTTCCAAAACGTTTTGAAAGTGTTTTAATTATAGTGCTTCAAATAATGAAGCAATACACAAAATATAAAATGTATGCACGAAGTTGAATTTCTGTCTGTTCGTCTGTTTCGGTGGCGTGTTTATTACTTAAGGATTTTTATCATTTGGGCTATTAGGCATTTATCTTCTTAGTATATAATAATAATAATAATAATAATTTCACACATCTCACACACGGTCGTCTGATCCCAAACTAGGCAGAGCCTGTACTATGATAATCAGACTGCTGATAAACATACTTATATATTTCTAAATACATATATAATATAGATAAATTACACCCAGACACAGAACAAATGATCCTGCTCATCACACAATTATTTGTCTTGGGTGGGAATCGAACCCACGACCTCCGGCTTAGCAGTCAGGGTCACTAACCACTAGACCAACAGGCCCGTCATATAATGATGTTTACGGGATTTAACGTGCTCACGATAGGTATTAAGTAAACCTTTGAATTGAAATCTATGTAATGTGTGTGTGTGTATGTAAATGAATTCCATGTATGTAAATGAAGTCCAAGGAAGTCTGAACGGTGAGAAAATAGTTAAAATATTTACCCATACAAATTATTACTACAGTCAAACATTTAAAATTAGTCCCGTCTCGCTCGGTACATACACCGGTAATTATGTATGACTCGAACCGACTAAAAAACGCAATCCGTCTCGGGTACCAGTAGCGGTTCCCTAGGAACGAAATCCAACACTCGGGTCCACTCAAATTAAAGAACGGATTATGTAAAGGTTTCGAATCGATAGCATTTACAATATACACACAATATCCAGGTTAGATTTGAGAAATCCAAAATATTTTGACTATGACAAGGGGTGGACATATTTGTTGGATTTCAAATATTTTTATATTATATAGATAAATAGATTTAGCTGATACAATACACTGGATTATCTATTTTTTAGGAAATGTGGATAACACTCACGAAAGTTATTATTCTAATAACAAAACAGGTATATAAAATAAACTTTGTTAAAAGAAACAATAAACGTACCTCACTGCTTTCGTACATTTTTAAAAGCTACGAAGAAACGATAAAACGTAATTCCATTTTCTACCTTCAACTGTTACATCAGAAAAACAGCCTAGCTATCTTCGCAGACAATTTTCTCATACTCTAAATTAAATTAACCGTAGATAGTATTTAGTCAGTAGCGTCAGTACAATAGAATACCAGAGTGTACAACATAACCTGTTTATGGAGTAAACGAACCCAAAAAAATGGAATTTATGATTCGTAAAGCTGATGGTGCAGTGTAGGCGGAGCGGGGATTAAAGCGGATACGGCGCAGTGCTTGAAATATATTTTTATTGACAAGTAAGCGATTACAGCTGTCTTTCTTTTGTTATAAAATTTATAAGTTGAAATAGACAACGATTTTTAGATACAGCATGAACTAGACAGATATACTCGTAGTACGGATACACTTTAACGTATTCAGTAATCGTTATTGGTCAGTCGGACCTGTGTATTTTATAAAAATAAGGGATTTTTGATAAAAAAAATCTATTATAATAGGTCTTTACCTATAATCTGAACCTACCGTGTATTACTTTTTCCAAAATTTAGACAACTTTTTAGTGGGTAAAAAATTCAATTCCCGAGAGGCAGTACAAAATGCCTTTGAAGAGTTTGTTGCCTCCCGTCCAGCTGATTTTTACAAGAAGGGCATCAATGAACTGCCAATGCGTTGGCAAAGATGCGTCGATTGCATGGGTGATTACTTCGAATAACAGAAATAAAAAAGTTTGAAAAAATAAGTACTTTCACTTATTGCATACAAAACGACAATTTCATAGGTAAAGACCTAATATATTGTAATATGGTTGGTTATTATTTTAATCATCATTTTAATATTATCTATTTATTATTAAACAAAGTAAAAATAGTTATTACTTAAATATTGTCTATTCATGCATACCAGTATAAATAATGTCTAAATTCTAATTTTATTAATGTCGCTTGTCGCTCCGCTTGTGGCAAAACCGTGGTTTATCGCTTTTAAGCGCTGCTCATCTTAGTAGTGAGGTGCCGCGCTAATTCTATGCATTTTCATTGTGGTGTGGAAACCATGATGTGGGAACAAGAGCACCGTCTCCGTAACGACTCATATCGGTACTGGTCCGTTATCGAAACAGTTATGATTTGGCACGGGCTTGTGGTCGATGGTGATTGATGATGTGGACCGTTTTTAGATGCAGGATGTTTGTGGAAAGAGATACTGTACCTCTCCCCACAAATAGACAATAACATGTCAGTTCAGTTTAAGTGTTAGATTGAGAACGTTCTCTGCTATATTTTGCCTGACCATATATTATTCATTGTGGCCATATAAGTATATATAACCATTAAACGATTACAAAAAAATCATTTCCTATGGAACGTCCAAGAATATTTACCTTATTAATTAGTTGAAACATACTTAATTTAATTACATTTGACTTTTTAAGGTTAACAAAATTGCGTCCTTGCAGGTTATACATACCCCTGCGCAAGCGCAAGTATGCAGTAATTAGTATGCTAGGAATGGGAGCAGCCATATTTTGTTTATCGTGAACAATTTTAATTGTATTGCAATAAGCTTGATACGCCATCTTTCTATGTGGAAGGTTCGAATAATAGTTTATTATGTAATGATTTCTGTAATACAAAATATTTCAATGAAATAGAAGTAATCTAGCCAGCGTGGTATAGTAGGCCAAAACCTCCTTTCTAAGGAGAGGCTTAAGTCCAGCAGTGGACTGTTAAAGGCTGTTGATGATGATTATAACGTCGGCTTATTGCAAGAACTCATGAACTGCAAAAAATCACTAAATACGTTTTTATCTATAATGGGCTCATTTTTACATATTCTACAAAATGCAAAAACACACTAATTTCTAGCTTATGTATTAAGGATAATATGGGCTAATTAACATAACCACTAACTAACTCCAACTAAAATGCCGTTTTCCCTAAATAATGAATATGTCACATAATGACTTCTTGCAATAAGCCGACGATAAGTAATTAATATTGTCGTAAACACGTAACAATAGAAGAGAAACCAAAAAGTAACTGAAAAAGTAAATAGTAGAAGGGAATAAAAAGTCAAGTAAGTAAAAAAAATTAGTGTACCTGATACCGCTGAGTTGCTTTAACTCCTGACAAACAGCCCCAGTCCTGAGTCCTGATTTTATGGAATGGGGGGCAAACGAGCAGACGGGTCACCTGATGGAAAGCGACTACCGCCGCCCATGAACGCATGCAACTCAGGAGTCACAAGCGCGTTGCCTGCCTTTGAGGAAGGAATACGCTCTTTTCTTGAAGGTTTTAAGGTCGTATCGGTCCGGAAATATCGAAGCCGATAACTTGTTCCACAGATTGGTAGAGCGAGGCAAAAAGTGTCTTGAAAAGCGCACAGTGACTGATCTGGATTGGAACTAATCTTGTATTCTTGGAACAGATAGGCTGTTTAGTGGATGATTTTATCTACATATTTCCAAGATCAAAGCATGGTCATAATTTCTATGTTAAAAGAATGTGCGGTAAATAACGTTATTAAGTGGTACACATTTCAATTCAATTTGTGAATTTAATCATATATGTAATTGATGGTGTAGGGGCCAATGACTGCTCATTTGATGGTATATGATTTCTGCCACCCATGGACATCTGCAACTCAATAGTCATAAGCCAGAGGTGCTTCTACGTATTTAGTCGAAGGATTCGGTGGGAGGTTTGAGCCTCCGGCGACCTCTCTCAATTAGCAAAGAAAGAATTGCCAACACCGGTTTTCTGTGAGCCGGCGCATTTGTAGCTCTTTCATGGTTTAAAGCTTATATTTGGTAACTGATAACATTTCTATAACTGAAGATAATATTGTCACTAGGTAGGATTTCGATCGGAAATATATATTCATCCAGAAATATACCAAATACTCATAAAAAACGTAAATATTTGAAATTTATTTCAAAATCGATATTCGAGTTAATTTTGTAAGATAAGGCATACAACTAATTTCATCTCATCTTAGTACAACAACAATATTTTTTTTGTCTGGTAAAAGTCTCTTACCCGAAAAAGAACATTATCTGAAGATATTGATTGAGATATCGTTTTGTTGCAGATCGATTAACACTCGAAGGGAAAAATAGAGAAGCTAAACGTTTTAAATAGTTCATCATCATCAAAAGCCTTGATCAGTCCACTGCTGGACATAGGTCTCTCCTTAGAAAGGAGGTTTTGGCCTATTGTGGCATGAGACTCTTAAACTTAAATTGTTTGAAATCGTCTTTTATGTAGACTCTAAAGTCATAGATCAACACACACGATAGCAACAATCTCTGTTTTGTCAAATAGTAAGCAAAATAAATTTAATAAAAATTAAATTTATACAAGATCTGTGATATTCCTGTGCCAATCTACAACCGTTTCCAAGGGTTTAAAAAGTAATCGTCAGTAATTGCAGTGTGGTGACGGATTACAAATATAGACTGTCACCACTCCTATTCATCCCGTGGGTGTCGTAAGAGCCGACTAAGGGAGCAAACTACGCAGGACAACAGCACTGCAAAGAGAAGGATAACTTGACACAAACCCTATACCAACCCGTCTGGCCAGCGTGGTATAGTAGGCCAAAACCTCCTTTCTAAGGAGAGGCCTATATCAATACTATTTATCGCCTAACGTACAAAATGGTTTGTTGTGAATGTTAATATTGAGTAGTAGCCCTTGATTGCTCAAATAGTAGAAATACGTTTCAAATCCAGTACGGAATGTGTGACTAGGTCGCGGAGCCAGTAGGCCAGTGGGCCGCTGTTTCAGTGTTGGTATGTTATTATGACAATCTCAATTCATGGTTTAATTTTAGGAATGTAAATTATTTCTTTATGAAAGTATCTGTTATGTAATTATTATTTTTTAAATTAAATATTCTACCACATTCACACAACGTTATCTAGTCCCAAATTAAGCAGAGTTTGTAGTATGGGTACCAGGCAAATGATATAAATACATATTTACTTTTTTTTGTAAATAAATCCATATTATACATAGAAACGCCCAGTCTAAATCAAACATTAAATGTTCATGCACTCAAATGTTTTACTTGAGCGGGAATTAGTGACTGCACGGATGGCGTAGTGGTTTAAGCGGTCGCCACGCCGCTTCCTACTGCGCCGAGTGTTGTGGGTTCAAACCCCACATGGAACGACACTTTGTGTGATCCACAAATTGTTGTTCTGAGTCTGGGTGTTCTTTGTGTCCGTTTCATATATGTTTGTAAAGTCCCCCGCGACACAGGAATGTATTCCTACTGCGGGAGTTGTCTTTTTAAAAAAAAAAAAAAAAAAAAAAAAATCGAACCCGCGACCTTAGGAATGGCAGTCCGTTACACAAACCACTACGCCGTCCGGTTGTCATGTAACCTATTACATGATTAAACTTAATATAAGTAAGTCCCCCAGGACTTGCTTTTATTTGGTACTCTTACGCTCTTATCCGTGTTGCGACGGATTAAGAATACAGAGTGTCACCACCCCTATACATCCTGTGGGTGTCGTTAAAGCCGACTAAGGGTGTAAACTACGCAGAACAACAGCACTGCAAAGAGAAGGAAAACTTGAAACAAACCTTTTATTTTTTTATCTAGTTCTAAACTTAGCAGAGCTTGTTGCATGAAAGCTAGATTGACTGATAGAATACTTAAATACTTTTTTTTGTAAATACATACATATTATAAATAGAAAACACCTAAACTATGAAACAAATATATGCAGATCATGCAAACATTTGATTCCAACACGGGATGAAAATAAAGGGAGAGAAGGTATCTCTGGTTATAGAAAATATTAATTTATATCAACTAAAATTTGTCAACAGATTGATATCATTAGAAATAGCCCCTCGTCCGGACGTACAATGCGAAGCTGTCGCGTGGCGTCTAGTGGGGCTCCTTGGCGCGGATCAGGGCTCTGGTCTGCGCGCGCGCACCGCCCGCCTTGCATCTGCGCTGGTACATTATACCCCTGATGCTAGAGACGCGATCGATGCAAGAAGACGGCAGTTAGATGCTGCAGTGCAGGGTGAGTTTATCGGATTGGTTTTCTTACTTTAATTGTGTAGGTATTTTATTAGTATAAAATTTGTATGTACAGACATTTTAAACTTGTTAGTATTTTCTTGCTCTTAGTCTATTTATATGTATAGATGGAGTATACGAAACAACTATAAACGACTTTATTATACTGTTGTGTTTGTAAATCAAACATTTATAGTGATAGCGACAACGCAACTGACATATGTACACAAGAACAGTGAAAAGAAACTTAGTGACCAACTGTTAGACGCTATGTTTTTTAACGTATTGCAGTTTTAACATCTACCTAAAAAAAATCTACTCTCAAACAGTCGTCATTGTTCCAAAGTCGTATCTAAGCCGGTAATCATTAAATAAGTGTGTTATTCATTCAATGGCTGTCGGAAGCGACATGTTCAAACATATAATTAAACTAAATTTCTACCCACTAAGTACATTTAGTGAACTTCCATCATAATTGTTATTTACATGGAATATTCTAAGGATGTATTAAGGCCGATTTGAACCGATTGCACACATAAAAACAAACAAACACAAATAAAATAAACATTGACTAGTGTTTCCCGGAAGCTGTAATTCTTGGATAAGGAAGTAAGGTAATTACTTACATATCCTCTGCTGGGCTTTGTGATGTTTCTTATCCGCAATCGTGTGTTTTGGTGCAGAACTGTGAATGCACTGCACTGACATTGAAATAATATGTTTTCTATCACAATAATTGATGACAATTCTGTTCTGTGTTTAGTTATGTTAAGGTATACTAGGTTTTGGCCTTGGCTCAGTCCGGGTGTATGTCGGATATCGTATCTATCTTAAAAAGTAGCTATGTCCTTTCTTAAGAATCAAAGCATTTAACAGTAGATTAAATGCCTAATCTATATAAATAAAATAAAATTGAAGTGTCTGTTTGTAATGTGAAGGTGATAGGTTACTTTCATGCTCACACGGTTATTTGCATGATACTCGTACCTATGCCTTTTTTTTTTTTTTTTTTCCGTGCGGAAATCCCCTCGGATACCACCTGTCGGTGGCATGTCGGACTCGAACCGACTAAAACCGCACGCCGTCGCCGGGTATTAATAGCCGGGGAACCAGGTATACCCTAGAAAGGAAGTCCCTGGTGCCCCGACATACCTCGGGTCATCTACAGACGAGTAGACGACCCCCCCCCCCGTAAACGACCCCCCCCCGTAACTCGTACCTATGCCTAAAAACCAGTTTAAATAAAATAAAAATAAATAAGTTTTTCTGTCTGTTAGTGCTGGGTAATCTTCAAAACAGGTTAACCTGTCTATATAAGGAGTAACTTAGATTTTTTTCTCTCAGAAATCCCTATAAAATTTTGCCTGATCCGGGAATCGAACCCACTAAGGCAGCACTTTTCAAATTCTACGCGGACGAAGTCGCGGGCACCAGCTAGTTAGAAATATACAGGTCTACCTATCTACAACAATTTTTAGAATCAACATGTTCAATCATAGAAGGTGTCTCAAAATAGTAACTATTATTACACAATTGCCAATTAGTGTTGTCAACTTCAACTTTTGGTTAATGGCTTTGTGGTAGAGTGTAACCACAATTTCGCCAATGTCATGTATTTGAAAGACAAAGTGTCAAAGGATTTTATGTAGAGCTGTGGTAGAGCCAAAAGAAATTTTGAGAATGAAAGAATAAGAATGAATAAATTGTTATCTTTTATAGGCATGATAAAACTTAAACTAGTAAAATATATATACAGATTAGTGTTGTCATTAAGCCAATAAATAGGCTGACAGCTGTCACATGGCATAGTAGTATTTGATAACTACGAGTACGTGTCAAATATATTTATCTATGGTGCACTGACAGTTTGAGATGCGAGTGGTCGGCAGCAACAACGACAAAATACTACGAACGCACCATTTTAAAGTTTAATAAATATAATTGAAGAAAAAAAAAACTCCTTTAGTTTCATAATACACATATACTCGTAATACTAGCTTACTCGGCAAACGTTGTTTTGCCATTTAATTATTTAATTTTTTTTGTAAAACAGAAAAAAAAATTAGGCGTATGAAAAATAGATGTTGGCGGATTCTCAGACGTACCCGATATGCACCTCTATAATTTTATGTAATCCTCCTCCTTAAATTTAAGTAATCCTCTATAAACATCCTCTACCCAGGTCTTGGCACGCACGGTTTGACGGCGGACGCCAGCGGTTCCCTCATCTCCTTACACGTCGCCATGAAGAACGAGCTGCACCGGCACGTGGAGGTATACAAGCAGGCGCTGCACAAGCTTGAAGAACTGGTATGACCTAATTGTACACAACTCTTAGATTGCTTATTTTCCAACAGCATGACACAAAGTAGCTCATAGAGTTTGAACTATTTCTGTTACCATAAAATGTATTGTAGTGGAAAAGGTATCTATGAAAAACGTTTTATTCAGAAATCCTAATTTGGATTGTGATACATTGTACTTCAACCAAAGACCATTTTTGGCTGAAGGACCATGCATGACTCCATACATGGTCCTTTAACCAATATAGGCGCTACATCAACTACTGCAAGGCATTACAAAACGCATCTTGGCCACATCCGACTACCTTCATATTTTAATTCGCAGTTTAGAAAAGGCCATCAGGATATTGTCTCCCAGAGAGTTCTTCTAATGCCTGGTAATTAATGAAACTACTGGTAATCAGAGTATACTTAAATTATGATATTCTGACACTCTCTCTATCCTTGGAGTCTTGACTTTTTCGAAAACTTTTTACCCTTGTTTTAATCTCGGATAACACGGCTTCCTGACAAACAAAGAGAACAGACTTATTTATTCAGAATCAGTATAGGATTTTTATTCGGATTTTTAAGATAATTCTGCTGTGTAAGGTACACGCGTCTAATATTTTTTAAAGGGTTTCACCAGATCTCATTTTTTTCCTACAGTCCCGCGTCACGATCACCCAAGACCCAGCGGCGTCATCCCACCAGCGTCTGCTAGCCCTGTCCCACTGTGACGTGGAACGTCGTCTTATCGATAACAAGAGCCTTCTGACCATCGTGGACAAGCTAGCTCTGCGCCAATTACCAACGTTGGTCTCTTCGTTGGCTGCACGCGTGGAGAGTGATAAAGCGGTGTTGGCGTGTATTGGACAGATAAAGAGAAGTGATCCAACGTTGGATTTGAGTGATACCAGGTAAGAATCAAATTCGTCTTTTCTTGGCATCCAACAATATTTAAACAGTAATGATCAAAAAGTTACACCAATAAATGCGTTAGCGCGTTATTAAATGCCATCAACGATTGACGTTATGTGTTTCCTCCTTTATTCTCCTCTACCATTCTTTTGTTCTGACTTCAACTGACTGCCTATTGGTTCCATTCTCTTTCTTCCATTTTGTATCTGTTACTTTCCATACATAAAACTCAGTTTATTTTGCTCCTCCCTCCTTATTGTATTCATACCATGATAATCTGTTGGCCTTTATTTTCAAGTTCTTTATACTGTAGTTTAGTCCATAATTGTTTATAGTTTTTAATTTTTTAAGGCTTTGCTAGAAAAAATCTAATATTGTTTCATTATTACATCCTATTAAACACATAAAAATTGGTTAATTTCAATTAGTTTTGTGTGGTTGCAATTTAAAAAAAATCCTCTATTGTAGTTTAGTCCATAATTGTACATATTTATGTTTATTTATATTTTTGTTTTTCTATTTTAATTAGTAGAAAAAAGTCTATTATTTTTTCATTAGGAAATCCTATATAATAAATACATATATATATACAAATAAATACACATATATGTAATTTTTTTCATTTTAATTAGTTTTGGATTGTTGCAATTTAAAAAAATTGACATATTTGCACTTCCTCACTTCAATATTAGGAAATTATCATTCAGAATCTTAATAACAAAATTATTTAGTATCACTGCTTGAAGTCATATAAGTGTATGTATGTAGCTGACGAAGCCTAGGCTAAATTTATATGTAGAACCTGTCAAAATAGAGTGTAACACTTTTCTGTAAGGATCACTCTGATGGGCTTACAGAAAACCGGTGTTAAGTATTTTTAAGCTATTGCATAGCTTCTATCGCGGGCCTTGAGCGTGGAGACCGAATCCAGAAATTCCGTAACGAAAATAACCTAACACCCCCGACCGGCACAGCGGTGATACTTTTTAGTTTTGCCATCTATCGATGAATAGCAGAACTTTTAATGACTTTTTTGAAATATCACGCTTGTCTCTTTAGTTCAGCAACTCGCCTCTTGGTGGCACCTACATGTATTGTAAGATAATAAAAATATTTTGAACAATATTAACTTCTCATTTATTTAATACTTAAAAGAAAAAAAAATGTTTTCTTATCGGTCACCACGCTCAAAAAGTGTAACTTGAATTAATATCAAAGAAAAAAAATACTGCATAAATAAAATAAATAAATAATTATAATTGCATAAGTTGATAAAAAATGCTATGCAATAGCTTTACCGCGGCAGTCCCCGAGTGCCACACGTCTTTTTTTCTTTGTATTTTACCTAGTGAATTAACGGGGCCTATAACCTTCTTAATAAATGTTCATGGTATTTATTTAGAAAGAAAGAAAGAAAAATATTTATATAAGTAGTCCCATCTGTCTGATTGCACCATATGCCATAAAGAAAACTCTAAATTCGATAACTTACAGTAGTGCAAAGATTAATAACGCCACATTTTGCAGACGACACGGTAACTTCCTTTCTTCCTTCGAAAAATACCTTCGATGTAAAAATTTGTGTCTAAATAACTCGTGTCTATAAAAGCTTTGTGACCTTATATCCCGGTAACCTTTGAACAAATAAATAACTGTAACGTTGAAGACAAATATAATTTTATTTTAAAGTTCTCATTTAAATTGTGATTCGCTTTAGAAAGTAACTCATCGAGTTTTGCCGCGTATATCATGTTCGCGAAATGTTGATCACTTTTCGTTTCCATTCTTAATGATTTGTAGTCTAATTATATTACTTTCATTTCGTTTATTACCATTGCATCATTAATATTAAAAAGTGATCTTGATTAATGTTGACGTTTATTTGCACTAGTCTCGGGATGGATTCCGCGATAAAATATTTGTTCACTGTTTTATATAGTAATTTTACTAAATATATGTGTTCCAGTATCTGAAAGTGTTTAACTTACAACATTATCGAAAAGTTATCGAAATTCGATCATAACCTTGATTTCTTTTTCAGAATTTTCCATCTTTATCGTAATTTTTTACACTCCTTTCTTAGGAGAGGCCTATGTCCAGCAGTGGACTATTAAAGGCTGTAGATGTGATGAGATGTGATCGTAATTTTTTTTAATTTTCTTTGTATTTGTCTGTGTTGTGTTTTAGGTTCAATAACTTATTCGGCAAAATGAAGAAAATTATTAAAATACCCCTTGCGTTATGAGTAAAATATATGTTTAGTTTATTTTGGTGATTTCTAAAACCTTCAACACCATCATCATCATCATCAGCCTATCGCAGTTCACTGCTGGACATAGGCCTCTCCCATTGCACGCCACTTAGATTTTGGGCGATTTTGGGCTTCTTTCTAAAACCTTAATGCTTTAAAACAAAAAACCGGCCTGGAACTAGGCAATACCAAATCTCTATAATTAGATAGTAATAATAATATTCTGGGATAAGCGTCCAATCAAATATATGTGTATGTATTATAAACATCCTGACTCAAATAAATCCTGGCCAAAAGACAAAGATATGTACATGAATAATAATTGTACAGAGCAATTAGCCCTGATCGTAGGTGGTCTAAATATTGCGATGTTGCTCACGTATTTTTTGCGATGACTTGTCATTAAAATTTCATAACTCTCTCGTCAAGAACAATGACCTTCCTGTTTAATACGCACACAAAACAAGAATTCGTTGTAACTTTGTCAGGTTGTAAAATAAATTACATTATCACACGCTTAACGATTGCAGAAAATATATATTAACATATCGTACGAAAGTAAGTAAGTGAAGGTAAGTCTATAAATTTGTAAATGTAATAACAATTACATCTTAACATTTCATTTAAATGCGTAATAAAGTGCTTGGTTGTTTTATTAAGTTTTTACGGAAACCAAAAAATCCTTGTGTTTTTTTTACTAGCGCGATGCGTAATATTTTCATTACAAAAACAAATAAACAAATACAAAGATGTCTTTAAAGTTTTTTTTAACCCGTGGGCCCTTCAGGCCGTTCGTTAGTTCGCGTGTACTCTCTTTTTGCAATGCTGTTGGCAAAGAGAAGGAAAAGAAAAGTTTATACCAACCCAGTCCACGTCTGGCCAATATGGGATAGTAGGCCAAAACCTCTTTTCTAAGGAGAGTCCTATATCCAGCAATGGAATATTTAAGACTGTTGATGGTGATGATGATGATGTATCCATACGTTTTAAACTAGGTAGTTTTTGACCACATCGTTCGTGTTAATTTATTTGGGCATGCTTCGAGAACGTATCTTTTTTCTGAATGAAAGGTGGCAAAATTCCATTCAACCTTTCTATAATACTGACAAAAATTAACTTTAAGTTTGAGTGTATTTATAATCTGTGCTGAATTCTTTCAATCATTTCAATTCAATTTAAAACAGTAATGAATCTTTTAACAAATATAGTTTACGATATTATGAACGTGGTGGATTGAATTTCAAGCGTTGATGATGAAATATTTTTCACGAAAACCATTAATATCACGAATTCACCGTGCGAACATTGATACAATATTAAGTATCAAAGTAATAGTGTGCCGAATTATTAATAGTTCACTTTAATACAAGCACAAGCGTGTGAATTGCAAAACGTTGCAGATGATTCAATTAGAAATGTTCACCTTACGTAATGTCTCTGGTTATTTTTATTTGTTTTAAGTATGTATTGTCTCTTCTCCTTATTTATATAAACTCTCTCACTGTATTAAAAATATTTTATTTACTTAACAGACTCTCTAATAAGAGTGTGGTGAAATTTTCTCTCTTAGATAAATTTATGTAATAGGTAAGTTTTCACTTAAAAACTCGTATTTTTTTCGGGTCAGTTGTCATCGCGTAGTGAACAACCATTGTCAATAACTAACGTGTGTTGGCAATCGATTACGTTTAAGGCACAAAGTTACATCACACTTATGTAACAAGTATTTACTTATTACAGGTAGATATTAGATTTTTTTTTTATTAAATACTAGCTTTATATGTCAGTTATCGCGTTAAAAATTAGCCTTCCAAGAATACATAAAAAATTTAAAATGTTGTTATTAAAATTAAGGTATAATGTGTGTTAATGTGGTAGGAGGTCAGATAGGATTCATTTAAATGAAATTTTATTACATATTAAATACTAGCTGACCGGCGCAACTTCGTCTGCGTCTCTCAATAGTAATAAATTTTCTCCGTTTTTGAAACATTCTTCATTGGTGCTCCGCTCCTATTGGTCTTAGCGTGATGATATATAGCCTATAGCCTTCCTCGATAAATGGGCTATCTAACACTGAAAGAATTTTTCAAATCGGACCAGTAGTTCCTGAGATTATCGCGTTCAAACAAACAAACTCTTCAGCTTTATAATATTAGTATAGATTAGATGGCTTAAGAGTAGGGTAGAGCAGCTCCGCCCGTGTATATGTCCTTTATCACTGTAAATAGTAGTCTATGTTATCCTCTAATAATATAGCTTTCTAACAGCTCTTTTAAATCGGTTGAGTGGTTTCCTCCTTTCTAAGGAGAGGCCTATATCCAGCGGTGGACTGCTATAGGCTGTTGATGATGAGTGGTTTAGGCTTGAAAGCGTTACAATAAAACAACTTCACTTTCACTTTCATAATTTAATCATAGATTTATTATTATGTACATAATATAGTGTACAGCCTGTTACTTACAATTCAGAGAATATATTACGAGTCGGTATAAATATTTTTACACTATGTCAATATCTAGTATTTCCATTTTAATGAATGTTATTATACGCCTGAGTTGATTGTAACCAATTTAAACGTACATATCATACAGTAATTGAACGCCATTACTATGAATGCAGGCGTTTATTGCATTCAATGATCATCTCTCACACCGAGTTAGCCATGCAATAACCAACTTTAAATTTCAGTGTTAACGTTTATTATTACATAAAGAATATTATGCTGTTACAAAAATACAGAGTAAA